CTAGGTTATTTTCCCATTCTCGCAGCACTCCCACCTACTCCATGCTGAATTAACGTTCTGTTTACCTTCTAGTCCAGATTGTTAACAGCATGACCCCGGTCCATGAAGTTCAGTGGCTTTTATTAGGTTTAAATCAGTCCTTTAATAGGTCTGCTCATTCCTGTTAAAGCCTGGCAGATTGACTTCATTTTTTTTTCTTATATCCAAAGAAGAAAAATCAGAAACACCCATTACCTCTAGCACAGTTGCATTTCAAGTCAAAACAGGTTGCTTTTATTTCTGGGATTTCCACTAGGTTTTTCTGTCATAACCCCTGGCTCAGGCAACAGTTCCTTTTTTTAATTTTTTTTTCTTTTTTGGTAAAGGTAAACAGACTATTTTCCCCCCTCTCCAAGACTTTTATACAGATCATAATTCCTTACAAACCTGCAAAATGTGAATGTCAGAGTACCTGGATTGTTCCCACTTACTGGAATGACGCTGCTAATCTCTTCCTGCATCTGATTTATATGTAAATAGAAAGGAGGTGGCTTGTAGGGAGGCCAAATAGGAATCCCTTCTGTTATAGGAAACCACAGCTGTGAGTCATTCCAAATGAAAAGCTTAGTAAAAACATCAACATCCCTAAAATATTTTTTGAGAAAAAAAAAATCCATGCAAGAGAAAATTACCCTGATGATTCTAAACCAAATGATGAAGAGGTTTCCTTTTTATTTTCTTTCTTTTTCCTGGATGTTCATTCCCTTTGCTTGAGGTAATAGCAGTGCTTTACTGCAGAAAGTGATTTTAAATTATCCTCAGAGCCAACTGTTTGAAGTTTAACAGCAGAGCAGAGATGAGTGAAGCTTTCATGTCCTGCACCCTCAGAGGATCACTGACATGAGCAAACACTGCAGAATGAAGGTGATAAGCAGAACAGGAGAATTACAGAGCAACCGTGAAGTTTGTAGCTTTATTCAGATGCCAACACTTACACAAAAAAGCCCAATTGCAATGCTCCGTGCCTTTTTACACTTCTGAGCTCTCTCCATAGGTAATCCTATTTGCAGTCTCAAGCTACACTTTTTCTTGGTTTCTCACCCCTATTTATCATTATATAAATATATATTTTTTCACCCCTTCTTTTTGATGTGGCTGCTGAGAGGGCCCAGCTGTTCTGGTGTTCCCTGCGAGGACAGCAGCAACTGTGGTTTTACCATTCTACCTCCCTCTGTTTTGCAGCTGACTGCTCCATATGCCTCCTTCCTCAGGTTTCTGTTTACTGGGCTTATTTTACTTGAGTTTTTGTTTGTTTGTTTGTTTGTCTCATTGGCCTGGAAGCTTTTCCATACACGAGGGGTTTAGGGGACAGCATTTCATCTGCAGTAAAGTATAGCCATTACACATTTCTTGTTAGTTTAGCAGTGTGGCCTGACCTTGAGCTATACACAGACTGCAGAGAAGACTGGAACTTCAGCTTAAAACCAAAACTGAAAAGTAGCAGGGGAATTCTCATCTACAAGGAAATGGGCAGCAGGCTCCATGAGGCTGTGTGGCTCATAGCAGCAACTCCTTCCCCACGTAAGAGACAGAACATGAAATAAAGCCACCAAACATCTGCCTGGGATTTTAGTGCTCATATAGGTATTATGCACCTGTTTCCTAAATTTATATTAATTTCCTTCTGCCATTTTTTGGTATAGTTGCTTCTTATTATTCATATTTGACACTATATAAAATTGTCAACTTTTGTTCAATGCGATATGCAACCAGGAAAAATTTTATCTTTATAATGAATAAGAAGTGGCTCCTATAAATGCATAAATGTGTAAATTGCAGTTTTCCCGTTCCCTGCAGGGGATTTTGCATGTTATCCAGAAGGAGTGCAACACCTTCCAGTCCTTCAGCCAATGTCACCTGAGTTCCATACATTTGTGTAAGTAATCATCACTTGGAAGCGGCATTAAAGCCAAGCAAAATCCCCAAATATATAATCCTTGTTTTGTTCCCAGGTTAATTATGTGTCACTCATCTGATAATTTATTTGGTTTATATTATCTTAACCAGCAGATAACCTGAGTCAGTATTCCTCTGGCTGAGGAAAATAAGGGGTCAAATAAAAGACCGTAAATCTAACAAAAGTTTCCTGTGTTACTGCCACTGCCATTTAAATTTGTTCTAGGTACATTTACTGTTTAAACATCCTTCCTAATTTGATTATCAGTAAGATAAAATGTGGAGTTATTTACCTGCCTTTGTGTGCTGTATAGGTTTGTTTTGGCAACACTTCACAGAAGGCATATCTTTAAAAACATTAGTACTGTTGTACAGTATCTTAATGAACAAAGACTAGATAAATCTAGCAGGTTTTGTCTATTTTCCATCTGAATCACAGCTGTAAGAGGAGGCAAACTCGGGACCTTGGCCAAAATTTACTGTAGTCTGAAGTGGCCAGCAAGCAACCCTGAAGGTGAGGAATCCAGCCTCATGGTGACAATTAACATGCCCTTGCAAAATCCCGAGGTGTGGTTTGAAATTCTTGTACCCTTGTTGGAAACCTTCCTCTTTGCACTTCTCCTTCTTGAACAACAGATTTGTTAGTCTGATCTCAGTTTATTTTTCAGAAGTCCACTTTAGATGCAATCCTGTAAAATATTTGGGACTTCTACTACTCTAAATTGTTCAAAGAAGCCATGGAATGAAGTTTAGGTCCTTAGTTGGCTTATGTTGATGGCAATAGAGTTGCTTCAGGGACCAAATAAGTTTATGGCAGTTGACAATTTGATGGAGTAATGACTTCTTGGTTTGTATGCTGCTGCTCATGCCTGCTAAGAATTGAAATTTTTTTCTCTCTTCTCTTTTGGTTTTTCTTTTTGTTTTGTTTGTTTGTTTTTTGGGATTTTTGGGATTTTTGACTTTTTTTTTCCCCTGTGAGATGAAAGATTACTTTAGAGTTCCAAGTAACAACCATTTGCCAGATGTTCTGTTTGTTAAATGTTCTTACCTGGATATTTGGACTATGTTCAGACTGTTCCTAAATCCTTTATTTGGCCATCATTTCTGCCTTGGTTTGGTACTCTCAGTAAGTGATCTGAAATGACCCTTTGTCACTCGTTCTGGGCTGAGCAGTAGCTGTGCCCCAAACAGAAGGAAGGGCAGCTGTGGGTCTCCCGCTCCAGATTTGCAGAGTGAGCATTCAGTGTCATCAGCCAGATCACCTGCACAGAAATGTGGTGTGAGAATGAAGAAATCTTGCCTGTCTTCACATTGTCCTGTCTGTATTCCTGCAGTGGAAATTTCTCTCACAGGACAGAAATTTTTAATTGGATCTACTGTCCTGTAGAATGTATCAAATCAGCGCAGTCATGTATGAGACAGGACATCTAATAAATGCAGCTTTTTCTCATGCTGTGTGGTACATTATCTGATTCCAAACCCAACTGAAAGGGCTGATCATTTGTTCTCCTGAAGGCCAGTGACTTTAGAGGTGGAAAGACAATATGCATTAATTACTTTGGAAGACAGAGGAGGGACACAAAGATGATCCAAGGGCTGGAGCACCTCCCCTCTGAGGACAGACCAAAGGAGCTGGGGTTGTTCAGCCAGAAAAGGAGAAGGATTCAGGGAGACCTCACGTGGCCTTCCAGTACCTGGAGGGGGCTTATAGGAAGGAGGGAAAAAGACTTTTTATATGGGCAGAAGGTGACAGGGCAAGGGACACTGGTTTTAAACTGAAATAAGGCAGGTTTAGGTTAGATATAAGGAAGAATTTCTTTACTCAGAGGGTGGTGAGACAGAAACAGGTTGACCAGAGACGCTGTGGATGCCCCATCCCTGGAAGTGTCCAAGGCCAGTTTGGATGGGACCCTGAGCTATCTGAACTAGTAAATGGCATCCCTGCTCATGGCAGCTGGTTTGGAACCCAGTTATCTTTAATGCCCTTCCCAACCCAAAACATTCTGTAATTCTATGATTCTTACTTGTTTTTAATTATTCTTTTAAATTATTCTTTTTAATTTCTGGAAATCCTTCTTTCCGCTAGTGTCCCCAAGAAAAAAGTGAAAAAGGATCTAAAAAATCAATTTATTTTGTTGCCAAAAATTGTCAATATTTCCATTAATTTTCAATTTACACTAACATTTCAAGTCTCAAAAAGGTGAACTTCCTTCTTCCCTTCTGTTGTTTAAGAGAGTTTGCTGATTCCCAGCTTTCCAACACAGATCCAAACATTTCCACTTTTTCCTCCCCATTTGCAGTAAATATGTTAGTTTAAGCATCTCTTCATGAGATGCTGGTAAAAAATCTGTTGAGCCTGGTAAGATTGATAGAAAATTAGGTAGGTAAAACCTGTGTTAGGACAAAAAGAGCTAGGAGCCTCCTCCTGGAGAGAAGTCTTCCTACACTTGCCCTACCAGCCCAGACACATGAATGAGATCTTTGCAAGTTCTCTGGCTGGATTCCTCCTGGTGCCCCAGGCTGGGTGACACAGTTTGCAAGGCTCCTCTCTGTTGCTCTCATATTTTAAATTGCAGGCACTCCAGCCTGACCCCAAATGCAGCAGAACTATTCTGTCAGGAGTAAAGCAATGGTCCCAAAAATGCCACACAGAAGCAGCTGCAACAACATCGGTGGTGGTGTCCCAGAAGGGAAGGACCAGTTTTCAGCAGGAGGTGAGTCATGTGAGCTTTTTGCTTCAAAGTACTTGTTTGACAATATTGCCCACAGATTCTGCTGCGGCATTTACTTTCTTCCTACTTCACAGCAAAATGTTCCCTAAACTCGTTGGGATTTTAATTAATGGGTTTGCCTTATGAAAGTAGCATAAATAAGCTGTTGCAACTGTTTGTTCCAGTAAGATATTACTTTCCAGATGGGAGGCTCTCTGTTTAGTCCATTGCTTCAGAATCTTTCTTCTGGTAGAGAGATACTATAAGTAAATTAAAGAAAGTTTTAACTTTCTTTCCTTAGCATCAGTGACCAGGAAAACCATTTAAAAAGGAGACTTCACAAAATTCCACTGCAAAAACAGCAATAGCAGCTCACTCTTCCAGTGCCCCTGCAGAGCCCATGCGGAACACAGCTGCTGCACATCTCCAGTTGCTGCCCTCTCTACCACAGCAGATTTTTGGGTTTTCTCTTGACCAACTTCCTGGAAAGGTCCTCGCAGGTATTTTTGTCATCAATGAACATAAATTTTAAAGGAATCAGCAGAAGTAGTATCAGAAAAATTATTTGAAGCCGAGAAGGGAAAAATCTCTCGGCTGAAGAATGGCTTTATCAGAAAGGGCTATATAGTCATGCATAGCAACTGCTGAAAAAAATAGAAAATATTATTTAATTATACAGCAGTATAAACCAGAAGTTTTTCTGGCAGAGTCAGTGTCCCAGATTCAATAGCAGAATGCTAGTGGTTAACATTACTGGGAAGCAGACTAAAGTAAAACACATAAACTCTACAGAGAATCTTAATACACTGAGTGCTGATCACACATTACATCTTAATATTTTGACTTATTGCCATTTTTAGCATTGACTGCTGTAAAACTATAATTTTCTCACAAAAGAAATTAAATAACCCTATTATATATGGCTGTTTGCTCTCAAAATGTCTGCCAAATGAGGAGGAGGAAATATTGCATTTCATTTTAAGTTGAATAAGTGAATTTTAAAAAGTTAAGATAATGGATGAGAATTTTCTGAATGTGGATTGAATATATCAGTATTATTTGGTCTAGTAATGAGTAAGGGCAGAATTAAGTGCATTTCATAACTTGTGTGTGTATCTGTGTCTATGTGTATCCATGAACACACATCCTCTGTTGCAATTTTGAGAAATACGTGGAATTCCTTCCTGCTTTAAAATTAGTGATGTCTGTGACACATTTATTTTCTAAGTACAGTATTACTCAAGGGTAATATTTTGCTTTTGCTAAATGTGTGTGCACTTGCTTGCAACACAATCCCTGTTGTTAGTAGTGGCTGGAGGCTTCATCTGTAGGAGCAGCATGCTTGGATACCACTCTTCACTTAAACCACTTCCTTGTAAACACTCCAATGGCAGCAGAAGGGGTTTGATGATTTCTTTTCCCTTAAGGAGCTCAGAATTACTGGTTTTTCACTTGCTTTTAGTTATATTAAAAAAAAAAAAAAAAAAAGTTGTGGAAGGCTCCAAGCAGTATTATCAGGAATAGCAACATCCATCTAGCTCAAAGCACAGGAGCTTACATGCCTTGCTCAGAAAATCATAGAATCATACACACATGGAATCAAGGAATCATGGAATGGCTTGCATTGAAAGGGACCTTGCAGATCATCTAGTTCCCCTCTGCCATGGGCAGGGACACCTTCCACCAGAGGAGGTTGCTCAGAGCCCCATCGAGCCGGGCCATGAACATTGCCGGGATGGGTCATCCAAAACTTCTCTGGGTAAATTATTCCAGTGTCTCACCGTCCTCTAAATAAGAATTTATTCTCCATATCTAATCTAAACTTCCCCTCTTTCAGATTTAAGCCATTCTCCCCTGTCCTATCCCTACATGCATTTGCAGAAAGTCCCTCTCCAGCTCTCTTGCAGGATCCATTTAGGACTGACAGTCTACTCTGAGGTCTCACTGAAGCCTTCTCCGCTCGAGGATGAGCAGCTCCAACTCTCTCAGCCTGTCTTCATCGGAGAGGAGCTCCTATCCTAGAGACATTTGATCATCTTTGTGTCCCTCCTCTGACCTGTACCAACAGACCCATGTTCTTGATGTGTTGAGGACCCCAGGGCTGGATGCAGTATTGCAGGTGAAAGATCTGTAGCTCTTTCTAACATATTTTTGCATTTAAAGTTCACAGAAAGTTTTATGCATTATTTTGGTTTCCTAGCACTGTTAATTAATCTGAAATGCTTCTCCTGGGACTGTCCCTAGCTGTCTGGGTGGGTGAGAGTGGTCCTGGCACAGGAAAGATGCAGTTGAGATAAGCAGACTGGGAGGGTTTGGAGAAAGCCTTTGCAAGATGACTGAGCTCTGGCAGCAGGCTGCCTCTCCAGGCTGCTTGCCCAGTTTTCCAGGGTGCTACAGGGGCGGCTAGGGACTAAAAGCACATTCAGGTTTTGCTTTAACTCCCTTTATCAGCATGGGCAAAAATATGGCACTGGTTTAGTGATAGCAGTGAGTAAAGGAATACAGCACTCCAACTGAAGCTCTCATTTCTATGGGATGCGCTACAAATCATGAGTAATCCTTGGACTGTGAATTCCTTGTGAATGAATAAAAAGCCTTCCTTTGCTATCCAAGCTTCATGTCAGTCTGGGGCTTCAAGACCATTAGTTGCAAAATGAATTGCAAGTGAATGGAAGGTTTCATTGGGCTTCATTTTCTTGCAAAACCCACAAGAAACCTTACCCAGTTTTGTTAATGAACTGGAAGATAAAAGAAAAATTAGGAGGCTTTATCTTAGTTTTAATAACAAAAATCACTCAGTCATTTGAGCCAGTTCTACTGATATGCTCTACAAGAATCAGCATGTGTCACTGTATGGAGCAAAAAGATGGAGCAGATTTTCCAGTTTCCTTCTCAATACTGACGAAGCATGAAAAAAATTGGTGCCAGACTGCAGATGGTGTGGAGCCTTATGTGTTGGTTTTGTGTGCATTTCCATACAGCACACTGCATGTACCAAGCACAACGAAGCAGCCAAGGGAATGCTACTATATATCTTAAGCTGACCATCTTTAAACCTGCATTTCTGAAAAAATATACCACAAAGAGAGGCAGAACATACAACAGATGCTCTTGAATACTGTATTGTATTTTCATCAAATCACCCAAATTGTGGATTATAGGCAAATGTGTTTACTAAATTAAGGAATTCCTTCTAATCTGGAAAATATAATAGATAATTTTCTAGTTTACTCTCCCTTTATTTCAATACTTCTTTCCTCCTAAGCAGGAAATGGGAACTCAAGTGGGCTACAGCCAGTGTTTTCAGCATACCCTGGTTCCACCTGAGCTGGGGGCACTGATGTGGCCATGCTGCCATGCACTGCTGATGTGGCCAGACACATGCCACCCCTCTAAAGCCCCACACTGTTTGTTCAGCACCACTTTCCACAGTCCTCTTTACAGGTCTTAAAGATGTTTTCCAACCCAAATAATTCTTTGATTCTACAAATATGAATTGCTGTTGGAATTCTGTCACTGCTTCTGAAGGGAAAAGGTAGGAGAATAAAGCAAGACTATGCGAGGGAACATTTTGCCAGCTTATAAAGGATGAGCTATCTGACAACTGGTTTATAGGCTGCCTAAACTGTCCTAGTTAACTGTTCCTCAGTTTCAATCAGTTTGAAGTGTTTGCACAGTGCAGATCAGATTGAGCCATTAGGCTTGGATCCCAGTCTGGAATATTTTACGAAGAAGATACTGGTGGACTTTTAAAATCCTATCTCTTGGAAAGCCTTCAACAAGAGAAAGATTCTGTTCTACATTTTTTACATTTAGATCATATCTGGTGTTGGAAAGAGCCAATTTTAAAGAACCACTTGGTTTGCACACATGACACTTCATCAGTCATATCCCTCACTCTCACAGTTTGCCTTCTAAAGGCTCTTTGCATATCTATCTCCCATGGGTCTCTCACATTCCCAAACAGACCACTCAAAAAGGGAAGAGGAAGAAGAGCATCCAAGAACAAGCAATGCTAAAGGTCACTGCTTTTCCAGGCCTTGATTCAGAAAATTGTAATTTAGAAATATTTCAGATTCTCCCATTTGAACTTTCTGAAGGAAACTTCAAGGAAATAAGATTTGGCACTGATAGGAACATCAGGCTGGCGGGCTGACATACGGACTTCCCACCCAGTTTCTCATGAGCCTTCTCAGATGTCATGGGACCTGGTGGCAAGGGGATCAGTAAAACAGCTGCTGAGGGGCTGGGAAGGGCTGCTAACAATTCTCTGCTTAGTGACAAAGATGAGAATTTATGATTCCTTATTCTCAAGAGATATCATTTATATCTTGGGAAGATCTGGAAGAGTGGACCAGATATGATCTTTGTGAAAAGTAATTTTTTTTATATGGTGATGCCCTCAGATGGCTGGCAACTGAGAATTTCCCCTCTGACTGTCACCACAAGGCCAAAGGCCAACCAGCTTTGGATTTTGGTCAAGGGAATGAGGAGATCCTCTCTTTTACCAGGTCATCTTGGCTTTGTTTTCAGGCCACACTTCTACAGCAGCTCACTGAGAGCAACAGTAACTGTATGGAATAAATGTGGTTAGTCCATAGTCCAGATTCTCTAACAACCACAGACAGCAAGACTTGTCTGACTCTCATTAACAACATGTTACACTTACCTTGACTGATGCAGCCTTTCTGGAAAAGCACAATGTTCTTACAGATCTTTCACTGTGGATGAATGAATATCATCAGGGACTTGGACAGGGTAACTACTTTCACACACATACTTGCAGTTGCATTCACATGAAACAGCCTTGTCTATAAAATTATAAGCCCCTAGACTGAAAATGAAGAATATGGTACTGTGAAGTCTGCCAAGCACCCTTTCAGTTGCTTTCTTGTTCGTTTTGGTTGAATGTTATTTTTGTGTACACAGATACATTGGAGAGTGTACTCTGAATTCTGTGCTTCTCCTGAGGCCTTTGCTCTGTGAGCAGTATGATGGTTTGGGATCTCAAATGAGCTAAAAGAATGCATTTGATTTTCTTCTCATCATTACTAATCACTCATAATCATTCATCACTATTAGAAAGAAACTTCTTTAGGGTGCTAGACCTGGGATCTCAAAACCTGAAGTTTTGGTGGCCTTGGTACTTCTGTTCAGACCTGTGGGACTGTTGTGTTTATAAGTCCACAAAGACTCCAACATCAGCCTCTTCCTCCTGCTGTACAGCGTGTGCTCCCAGTGTCTCCCCAGTCACTGAGGGTTTACTGTCACAGAATTTCTAACAAACACGAGGAGGACATGAATGCAGCAGCTTTGCCTGTGAAACACCGGCAGAATTGGGCAAACAGGTGCTGGGATCCCCTTGTGCCGTGCCTGTGGGAGCAGGGAGATCCAGGCGGGTGGGGAAGGAGCCATTCCCAGGGGACACAGGAGGGACAGAGACACCCGAGCCACTCCTGCGGATTATTGGAGATGAATATCAGGGAAAGCGGCATGATCAAGGCCTGAGGTCTTGCTTCTCGTGGCAGAAGCAGAACACTGGCATCAGCTGAGGGTGCAGAGCAGGACAGTGGGCAAGTGCCCAGACCTAAAGCGAGGAGGAAGCTTCTCCCAGAGCTGCTGCATCTGCTGCAGGTTGATGGAAGACCAGTGAGGGACTCCAGGAAAAGTGTGCAGAGTTTTGTTATAAAAGCTCTCTGAAAAGGGTAGGGATTTACCCTGGTATAAAGCTGAGCAGTTGAATTTTTATGGATAAAATGTGTCTGATTTGGAGCTGCAAGTTTTCCATGCAAAGCCAATAATGTCCACCTTAGAAATCCTGGAGCTGCAGTGTGTGTGGCAGGTTTTATAGCCTGTGAGATATGGAAATTAATTACAAACAGGATTTGCAATTCTTTTGGGGTGGGGAGGCAGCCTTGTGTCAACATTTTGACTTGCAAATATTATAAAATGTCTCACACCACACCACAAAAGAACTAAATCTGATTTTTCCAGGCATATAATGACTTGTACTGATTAAAGAACACTGCTCATATCTGGGTCCAATAAAAGTAAGTGAACAAAGCAAATAGACATGCAAATAAAAAAGAGATCTGATATGGCATGGTGTAAAGTTTAATCCAAATAAGGCTATGAATGGGTTCTCCACAGCGCTTCATTGACAATAAAAAATGTATTTAAGGCAGTAAATGTACAACAGCTGGCAAATATCATGTGCCAAGTCTTATTTTAGATTAGTAAGAGAAAACTGAGACTTATTAAACTTATGCAGTGATTCCCAGGATAGCCAGTTGGATTTTTAGAACTTCTTTCTGGTGCTACTAAATTAGTACCCTACTTAGGGAACCTGTGGCCTTGAAAATGGAAGAATACACAGAAATTTTTGGATTGGTGAAAACAAAGCAAAAATAAACCTGGGAAAGGCAAATAGCCCATCTCAGCCTCAGTTCACTTCAAATGACTGAGAAGCAGGCAGGAAGGCAATTCATTATATAGCTCATCATCCTTGCACAGACAGGAGAGTGTGACAGTCAGTTTAATAGCCTCAGAAATGATTTAATAAAATTTCTGCTTTTAAGTGCTATTTATCATCTGCTTGCAATGGCATGCATTTTAGAAAAATTATAGGTTTTTAAATCTATGTAAATGCTATAGTACATATTTCTAGTTTTAATTAAAAAAACAGGTGAAAATAAACCATGCTGAGATAACAAAAAATTTTTCTTTTTGTTTGTTTGCCTTTTTCACTAATAGAAATATTAAAACAATTCAAGTTACAACTGTACCCTCAGTCACTACCAGTTAAATGGAAATTTTTTTTTAAAGTTAATTTAATTTTTTGCTGAGATGAGCAGTGTAGCTCAGCCTGCAGAGTGACCAAAGGGATGGACCACAGGGTCACAGAATCACAGACTATTCTGAGACAGACAGAACAAGAGGACACAAGTTGCGCTAAAGGAGATACAGGCTAGAATTAAGGAGGAAGTTTTTTACAGAAAGAGTGGTCAAATACTGGAATCATCTACCCAGGGAGGTGGTGGAGTCACCATCCCTCGAAGAGTTTAATAAAAGACTGGATGTGGCACTTGGTGCCATGACCTAGTTGAGGTGTTAGAACATGGGTTGGACTTGATGATCTTAAAGGTCTCTTCCAACCTAGAATTTCTGTGATTCTGTGATTCTGTGAGTTGAGAGAGACCCACAAGGATCATTGAGTCCAACTCCTGACCTTGCACAGGACAGTCCCAAGAGTCACACCACAAGGCTGATGATGATGTGATGATAATGCCAAGTGTGTCAAGCAATGGAGAAGTCCCTGTAAGATTTGTGATCGGGTTTGGTTGTGTACAACCTCACTGAAGTCCAAATGAAGGTGCTGCATGTAGAGGTAAGGAAGTTCCTGGCTTTTCCATGCAATAATTGTCATGTGTCCTGCGGCTGAGGGAAGCTCATTAGGTGAAATCTCCAGTGTGCTGCATCTGCAGGTTCAGAGCAGTCAGGCTGTGTGCTCACTCAGGTCGGTTTTGCTCGACATGATGTGCAGAGCTGGTGGCCCAGGAGCTCCTTTGGTCCCTTTGGTGGCTGGTGCTGCCTGGGACACTTTCCTGTTCCATGCCTGGATTCTGCTCTGGGGTCTGACCTTCCCCTTGAGGGGTATCTTGTCTTGCTTCTGGTTTTTGTACGGGTTTATCCCTCTAAAATTTATGGTTGTGCTCTGCAACCGTGCTTTAATTTTGCAATAAGTAAACAGCAATGCTGGAAAATTTTCCTGGAGCAACACTGACCTTGAAATTGTCCATCTCTTAACCTGGCAGAGCTGGATTTTACCCACCTCCTTTCTGCATGAATATGCCTTGCAATTCAAAGGGTTTTTAGACAGCAATATATCATTATAAAGTCTGGGTATGTTTGGTTTTCTTTCCAATCTGAATGCACGGATATGTGCACAATAGTGAATTGAGGCCCTAAGGTATTTTAAAAGTGCTTGTAGCAAGGACTATGTGTTTTCAGATATAAATACAAACACATGACATGAACATTATTTTATTTTATTTTTGTTATTTATTTCTTTTTTTTTCAGCTTTACAAAGCAATAAACTCCCAACTGTAGAAATGTGGGCAGGAAATATAAAAATAAGATTCAATCTGAAGAGGGGGCTGAAACAACAGATGAAAAAATAATTCAAAACATATATATTCAAGAAGAAAAATAAAAGATAATTGAAAAGCAGTAATATAGAAGAGACCTAAGGGTAGCATCAGACAGGAAATTACAAAGCCACTTCCAATGCAATGTAATCATTACTTACATGAAATAATAATAATAATATTTTATCTATCTGACTGCAGATCTCAAAATGATTCATGGGTTGCGATCATTTTTTCCCATCACTGTGAAATGTTTGTCTTCAAGGTTCTTTTTCTTATGTTTCATATTTTTGCTCCCCTTAAAATGCATGTGATCATTTGTAATTATATTTTTCTGCTCGTGTTTCTGCTGCAGGATGGTGGGAGCCATGGCAGCACTGCCAGTGCTGCTGGAGGGGTGACAGCAGTGACTGAGATTTATTGAAGCCGTGTTGGTGTGTTTGGAGGAGCTGCTGGTGGGAATCACCCTTCCAGGGACTTCCCAGTTTCCTTTTAAAGCTGCCTCAGTTTTGCAGGGAGCATTTAGCTGGAGCTTTCCCTGAAGCTCAGTGTCCTGTTCCTGCCCACAGCTGTTCAGGGAGCCCTGAGGGACAGGGGGTTTTCATTGCTAGGGATTTTCAAGCAAATACTGGGCTGGCTTGGAGAGAAAATGGCTTGTGCCAGAACATTATGGGTTTACACTTGATAAACACACAAGCTTTGAGCAATTTTATAGCACCAGGGTGATCCATTAATAGAACTTATTAATTAAAATCTTAACAAAGGACACATTATTATTATGGATTAAAAAAAAAACCACTCCAGTTTGTCTTTTTTGGGGGTGATGAGCTCTTGCTGGGTGTGCTTATTCTTAATTTAATAATTATAGAGCTCTGTTTGGCTATGTGGATATCTAAATCAACCATTCAGAAAATAGCACCAGGGTTAGAGGAATAGTTACTACAGCTATTCTCTGCTACTTCCTAGGATTTCAGTTAAGGTATAATAACACTTTTAAATGCACTTTCATTTTCTACAGCCACACTTTCATTTTCTACAGCCATTCATTTTATCCATAATATTAAAATAATATCCTGTTATCCTTCTCATCAGCACTCTATGATTTTATCAACTGGCCTGATTTAGCTTAAATGCATGAAAATGTATTGTAGAGCCCACACAGAAAAAAACCTACTCACTTTCTCATGTGTTTTTTTTTCCTAGGATTCTTTGTAGGCAGAGAAGAACAAGACAGAAAATATGACTCTTGTGGAAACACACAATGTTCAAAGACAACAGCTGCATGCACACTGCTGCAATGTACAGTAGAAGTTAGATTTGACACTGTCAAATGGTTTATTCTGAGGAAAATGATTGTTCTGTGTATCCATAAAAAATGTAAGGAGAAAGATTTCCAAATACATTTATGAGTATCTCATCATTCCTCCGCTGGCGTGTCCCCCTGTGTGTACCTACGCGCTGCTTCCCGTTTATATGATGGGGATTTTCCAGAGGGAGGAATTCACCACTGAAGTATTTGGATCCTGCAACTGCAGGTACAGCTTTGGATTTAGAAGCTGGAGCAAGCCCAGATGCTTCCAGCTGTCGTCAATTCCTGCTCCCTGAATTGCTTTGGATGCCTACTTCAGCTCCTGCAGTTAACACATTGCCCTCCTTGCCATTTAGCAAAGGAAAAGGGCACAATCTTGACACTCCTCTGCTGGGCTTGCTTTGGAAGATACAAAGGGTAGGAAAAGTTCTGTCTTGCATGTTTAAATAATAAGGCCTATAAAGCTTTTTGCGGCCTTATATAGAAAAAAAAGTGTTTTCTGGAGTGCTGGAAGTGCACAAAATAGCTATGGAGACAGACTGGACTCTGAAATGGGTGGCCTTTTCTTCTGGAGGTCTTCCAGTGATCTGTCTACTTCCTTTCTAATCCCCTGTAAATTTGTAGCTGCAGTAGCATTTTCATAGCTCAGGAAGGCATTTTCCTGTTCATCCTCTCCCTCACTGGTGACTGTAGAACAATTATCAAATCTCCTCCAGTATTCTCTGTTCTCAAGCTGAATTGTACTTGTCTGTTTAACTGTCTTTATTCCTGATACAGGAGATATTCCCTATGGCTAGGATCATACATGTAGCATTTCTTTGCTTGTTTTCCATTCTCCTATACCTTTTTAAGATTGGGAAACCAGAAGTGTCCACACCATTCAAGAAGTGGGCACTGTAAGATTTTATACCAGGGACATAGAGAGAACTATGATCACCTGAGTACCTGCTCATGGAGCAATCTGGCAGGTGCAGGAAGGTGTTTAACCCACCTTCTTCTCACTGTGCCCTTTTATGTCAGGGTCACTGCTGCAGATCCTGCTCTATGTTACGCTCCACACTACAACCTAAAAAAAGAAAAGCATCCCTCATATAAAGAAAGAAGCATCGTGAGGGAAAACACTGTCTTTGAGAAAATTATTTGAAACCTGAGTTTGTGTGGTCAGATAATTTCTAAATTTTCTAAACCACCCACAAAACCACTCACTTCTAACTCTCCTGTGGAAAATAAGTGCTGAAACAAAATGAATTAAGAAAGTGAACTTGACAGTGTCATATTTTATGCCTTTATGTTTTCAAGTGTGCATTTTTCTGTTGACCACAAACTATTCAGTAATAAATCACACATTGTGATCTTAGTTGTCTTTTCCTGTAAGTTAACCTCTTTCAAGAAAGAGGCCCATTGGGCCTGCCTATTTGTTTTATTTTGGTGTTGTTGGGTGGGGGTTTTTTTGTTGTAGTTTTTGTTTGCCAGCTTTTTTATAAATCTGTAGTGTAGTTTACAGTGTGATTGTACACTATAACATCACATCTGTCCATGTTAGGAGCCTACCTTTCCCCAAATGGAGGAAATAAAGGCCTGTCATGAAAGCTTTTAGCTGTCTTTCCATATAAAAATCAAGTGCAGTTAACCACAGCAGAGAATCTAAGGCTGTGTGGATGTTAACGTGCTTAAACAATTTTCTGTCATCCAAAGCTACTTACTATGTCTTTCCTCCTATGGTTGCCCATGAAAACTGGATCCAGCTTACATGTCTTCCCATAATCCCTGCAATTTAGAGATATTTATTATATGTTTTATTATCTCAACTTTTATGGCCAGCAACAATCCAGACAAAATGATTCATTCAAACACCCAATCCTGTGATAAAATGCTGGATTCTACTGAAGATTGTGTCCCTCAAGGCTATAAGGTTTCCCAAGATTGCAAAACAAAGGTGCTGTCTCTGCTCCAGTTCCCTTGTGACTTTGGATGTACTCATAAGAATTCCCAACCCTTTTTTGCTCATTTTCCTATAGAACAAAAAACTAAGATTAATATATTTAAGGCGGTTGCAAGTGGCATTTTGATGGTAGAAAAGCTTTTACCTTTTTATCAGTCTAGCAGGCCTTGCCTCTTCTCTTATCACAACTGTAAATAGAAGCAAAATAATGCCAGTGTTAATAATACCTGTCTTTATTAAACTCAGCTTGAAATGGCATGGTTCCCTATTAATGTTATATAAACACCTGAGTTAATGGAATACCAGCGAGCAGTGCAAAGTGAAACACTTGGAAGCTTGGAGCAGTTTCAGGGAAGTTCTAACATGGACCCGAGATGTGGAAGATGAAAAGCAGATTTTGCATTCTCCTACTCAGCTGCCTGAACTCTGCCTAAACTCTGGATGCCCAAACACCACTGACTGCTGATATTTTTACTGCAAGGTTCCCCAGGGGCTTTCTGTGCAAATGCAAAACATCTTGGCATCTGTCTCAGGACTGAGTAATTAGTAATTATGTATAGAGAAATACTAATGGTATTTCTCTGCTGAGTACTCCCAGGGGCCATCTTTACAGCCAATCCATGTTATGTGGGATGGGAGAAGGCAGGGTGCATTTTACCTTTCTTCTTTAAACTGTGTTACTGCACAGAGGGGTGGGGGTGAGGAAGCACTAGGGATCTGTGCAACACAGCGTGTGAGAAGCCATAAGGACCAGAAATGAGGTTTTCCCTATTTCCTGCGCTCTGGATGAGTCATCTTGCTGACAGCTCATTTCCGTCTTTCCTCCTTTCTTTTCCCATGCCTGCTGAACTACAGCTCTCCTTCTCACATAATTATTTATTACTGCTCTTTCATTATCAGCTCTCTATCATCAGCTCACTGCTTCTACCCTGCCTTCAGATCCAAGCATTTGAGCAGTGGGATTGTAACACGCACACAGCTTCCACATCCAGACCTATGAGGGCAGATCCTTTTGGCTACACTTGCACTGAGCACCTTGAAAGGGTGAAGAGCCAATGAAGAAACTGCAGAGTAAGTCCCAGTAAAACTCTATGGACTCATGGGAAATGGAATTTGTAACACAGTGTACTAGTGATTTTCTAAGGGACTTCAAAAAGTACATCCTACCTCTTACCTTTCTGCTAAATTCAAGTTCCTCCTTCCTACTGAGCAAGCAGAAGAATTTCTCAATACAAATACCTTAAAAAATTCTTTGACATAGGGAGAACATGTATTTTCCCTTGACCTTATCCTGGACAACAGCCACAGCTGGGATTTTGAAGATTGCATGTGGAAAATTAAAAAGGAATCAAATTCCCTACTGACTTTAAAGTGCACAGTAACTGCATCTGCTGAAGCTATTGGCAAAACTGGCCTCTCATATCTTCCTCAAAAACATTTCAAAATGATAACACTTTTTAATATAATTCTCAGTATGGTTAATGAAAATGACTTCTTGAATCTCGTTGATTTAAGAAGTGCTTGTCACATAGCACTGACTGTTACGAGTTTTTCTGTAATGGTGTGTAGCAACCTAAACAAAGCACTTTAGCACAAAATATGTTCCAGACTCTCCCTATTGCTCACTTCTGAGTTTCAATCCCTTGAATCATCTCACACGGTATCAGGATGCATTTTTTGCAATCTTCATAACTTTGCCTACTGCTTTAACAGTACAGTACAGTAGAGTTCAAGCTGTGTGGAATTCAGGAATAGGTGGTAGGACAAGATGACCCATCAGAGGTTTGTGCTGAGATTAGAAAACCTGAGATTTTGCAATGAATTTCTGTACAAAACTGTAAATACACAATTATAATTCAGCTGAAAATGCTGAAGTTTTAAAAAAGTAGTTAAAAGGACAAATGATGAAGTTTTAAAAAAGTAGTTAAAAGGACATCTTAAAATCTCATGTGTATTTTTAATTAGTAACACTTAAAAAATCAGCAAAGAATAGTTGATTTTGAGAGAGGCTAAGGTGAACAGGGAGTGTATTGCTGTTCTCTCAGGCAGTGTGAAGGTCTTTGATGAATAGGTTTTGTTCCTTGCATGCCTCACTCAGCTGCTTTCCTGGTCTGGCATAAGTTAGCAGAAGTGGAGCTGCGTGCTTTGCTTCCTTTCCAAACATCTGCCCTCGAGGATGTTTTTGTTTGTGCCTGCCCCAGGAACGCGGGAGCTTCCAGCGCCGTCCCGTCCCCGATCCGAGCTGCTGTGGAGCAGCCATCTCCTCCCTGCCTCCCCTCCTGCTCTCAGCGTTGGGGACCTGACAGCCCCAGTGGTGGCCCTGGCTGGGAGCATCTCAGGGCTGTGTTTTCCTCTGGCCAGGCAGCAGGATCTGGCTTTGACTCAGACGGGAGGAGGCTGAATGGCAGAACCTGTCCCTGCATGGCATGGAGGTGCTGGCCCTGGCACAGTCAGCACAGCAGAGGTGTGCTGGCACTTGGATGAGATGTTTCTTGCTCCTGGTGAGGGCTTGCACCAGCACGGCCTGTGAAGCAAGGTGTCCCAGCCCTGCAGGGAGTCACAGAATAAATTCATTCCTCCGGGGTACTGGCACAGCCTGGCCCAGTGTGCCGGCCCTGTGCTGTACCAGGGAGCCAACAGACATTTTGCAATATCTGCTCTCAGTCCCAAACATGGCAACACATCTTGGATACTGCAATCCAACAGCACTCAGCAAGCTGTGTCCTTGTCTGGCCAAGTCTTTCCCTAAACAAGCTGGCTTTTTGAAAATATTTGGGTAAACTTCTGCTATGGAGTTGGGCTTCAATGGTGTCAGCTTTGTTTAAATGTAAGAATGTTATAAAGAGAACATTGAAGAGCAATGCAGGGCAGAGCTCTGGTGGCCAAGGGGTGTGAGGTCCATACCAGGCACACTGATGGGAGGGAAACACAGTGGTGCTGCTGCTCTCTGCCTGTCCCCGCACAACTGCCGATACTTTGCTGTGTTTCCTTTCTGTTTGTTATTCTGCTTCCCCTCTGAACTTTTTGCATCATCCTGGCTGCTTTCCTGAGCTGAGGCTCAGCACCTCGTTTGCTCTCTGGAGTTTCCCTGTGCCCTGGTGCACAGGCACTGAGCTGTGTTGCCATGGGAAGGGGCTGTTTGTTACCTGTTGCACCAGGCTCCCAAGCTGGGGCGGACAGGTCCCAGTTAAGTCAACACGCTGCTGGAAAAGTGCATGAACTTTTGTGATATACACACTGGGGGAGGGGGGGGGGAAAGAAGGCGGATTTTGGCATCTTTGAATGCACTTGAACTGGGCAGTGCCCATACCACAGCTCTGACTAATCCATTTGGCATGGCCAGGATCCCCAGGGCTGGGTTCTCCTTGGAGGTAAGGCACAGCACTCTTGAAACAAAAGTACCTTGGAGGTACTGTAGAGGGTGGTTCCAAATGGCAAAGGGCAAGCACCTGAGCACAGCCTTTGTTCACCCCGTGGTTTTCAGGGTGTTGAGGAAAGCCCAGGTGGAGCCTGGCAATGCTCCCTGCCTCAGCCACTGCAGCTGAGGGGGGAGCGCAGGAGGAGAGAGATGTTGGGTGCAAAAGTTCTGATCATGCTGAAATTTTACCATGGAAATTGGTTTTGTGCAACTAATAAGAACAGGAAATACTTCTTGTTTTCTCTCAGGAGGGGAACATTAAGTAATGGCTTTATCTTAATTTGTCAGGCTTTGCCCTAGGGACCAAAATTAAATCGCTGGAAGCCAGCGGAGACTTGAGAACTGAAGCATTAACACTCCGATAAATAAGAAAGAATTCATTTTAATTAGTTTTCCAGCTGAAAAATAATGAAGCTCTACATGCCAAAAAGCTGTAATGGAGTAATGGAAAGGCCTGTGCTTATACAATGGAGCCTGATTGCAATCTCAGGGCTCCATTTGTATTCATTTGTAGCCTGAAACAAAGGAAGGTGTTTGGATTCTCTCTCTTTATATAAAGCCTCTGCTCCGGCACTCTGGGCTGGTCTTCAACCAGGCTTCCCACAGTCCTATTGCCAAATCTACAAAATTTTCCTGGCTGACATTCAGGAAAGTACTGCTCGGGCTGTAGGATGGAAAGTTAAAAGACTTTGCCTGGTTACTCTGAAACACACAAACAGTGCTTGACGTATGGCGCTGATTCATCCTGCACAGGCTGTCCCTGCTCTGTCCCAGGGGATGCAGCATTGTAAAGCTGTATCTCACTCACTGGTGTCAGAATCTAGTGAGAGGAGTCATCCTAAACACTTGTAGGGATGCTTTCCCTTGGAGGATTAACAGCATGTAGCTGGACTGCAGCACTCCTCAGATCCAGGGTGGGATTAGCCTGGGATAAACA